CTTGTTCTCTTTAGGCTGAAGCTGGTGAGGGGCTTCCTGGCCACCCTGAACCTACCAGGCCTACCGGACCCACGGTGAGACCCCCTATCCAGGCTCGGCACACACACAGCATGCAGGGGGCTGGGGATGCCGAGAAATAGGCACAGGCTGAGGTTCAGGGTGCCTTCCAGTGACACGCCGGGACCTTCACCTCTATCAGAACCCTCAGTGAGCTCGGGAGCAGTCTGTTTACATCCCGTTTATATCCTGCACCCTGAATGGCCCACACATCTCTCAGCCACATCCCAAATGACTCATCACCATGCCCCAGACCTGTTCCTCCCTCAGGATGCTCCACCTCTGGGAGTGGCACCCCATCTTCCTGGATATCAAGACAGAAATCGGGAAACCTCCTCCAGTGGCCCTCCGCCTCCCATGGCCCAGCCAGTCAGCCTCCAAGCCCCGGGTCTAGCCGGTCCCTCAGACAGTGGCAGCAGGCCCCCTGTCCCTGCCTCCCTTCTCCCACCTGCATGCACAAACCACTGCCACCCATCTCAACCCGGCCCTAACCTCCAGACTGGAGTGCTCCATGCATGTTCCATGATTGACTTCAGCCTCCCCTGGTTCTTGTGCTCAGGAATTAAGTCCCAGAAAGGGCTTTTTAGAAATACCCTTTTGTTCTTTGGAGGAATTTGATGGCATTCAACAAGTATACACCGAGTACGTTCTTGGTACCAGATCGTGTGCTAAGATACTGGGCATCCAGAGGTATCTCGGGATGGGCCAACCCCGGAGGGGTCCTAGTCTAGAGGGGCTGACAGACATACACACAACTGAGCTTCAAGTCAGGTGGTCCTACCACCAAACTGAGACCTCAGCAGAAGCTGGTGAGAAAACAGAGTAGGGAGAAATGAATTCTACCTCCACCTAGAAATGGGCTGGGAGGGCTTCCTGGAGGTGGTGACAGTGGAACTAGGCCTTGAAAGATGAGTAGGGGTTTGGAAGGCAGGAAGGGAGGCTGAGAAGATGTGAAAGAGCACAGTATGTTTGAGGACTGGCTGCCCGTTGGCTGTGTAGCCAGAGGTGGTGAGGGAGGAGGAGAGGGGTAGAGGGGAGTAGGAGAAAAGACCAGAAGGAAGGTTGACAGCAGCAGTTATAGGGCTACAGAGTAAGGGAAGACTTTTGGTGACAAGGCTGTCCTTAGGGAGTGGCAGGTGAAACCAAGCGGTGGGAATTTCTTCTCTCTCCAGGTGGGAGCTGAGGCCGAGGGCTCCGGCCTGGGCTGGGGCTCGGACGTCGGCTCTGGCTCTGGTGACCTGGTGCGCGGTGGGGAGCTGTTAAGAGTAAGTGTGAGGGTGGAACAACCTGGTGTCTGGGACTGCCTTCCCAGTAATCGGGAGGATTATATTTTCCCCTCCACGTGTCTATGTTTGGCATTTTCCACTTTGATCAGTTTTGTTCTGTTTTAAGTGAATATGAGCCTTAGTTTCTCTTCAGGATCTCTACTTCACCACTTGCCCCCTTTCCCTGGCATCCAGGAAGTATGCCCATGACCTTCACTTCTTACTTGGCTTTGCCCCCATCCCTTTTACCCATTATAGAGAACCACGAGCCTCTTCTCGAGGTAGTATTTCACACTTTCGCTTCCAGACCCTTCTGGAAATCCTCCCTACCCTGAGGCAACCCCTCCTACCTCTTCAACCACCCCTTCTTCCTCTTTGCTCTTGCTCCCTCAGCCTCCTGCCCAAGGCAGGGCCCCCACTGGTTCCTGGTTCCTGGGGAGCACCTCCCTGCTCCAGCTGCAGCTGGTGGCTTTGTCCCGAGGCCCCCAACCTCACTCTGAACCCCTGTGCTGAATCCCCACCCAGAAGACTCCACTCAGGTGCCCCTCGGCCCACTCCTCAGGATAGGGCTGGAACGGTTCTGGACTCACTGGATAAGTAGAGTAGGAGCCACATGGGTCTTGCAGACTGGTGGGATCAGCCAACCCAGCCGGAGGCTAAAGAGTTTTAATAAGGGTTAGCAACAGGCAGTTTTTGACTGCTCTGTCAGGTAATCAGAAAACTAAATTAGTCAGGACACCTCTGAAAATTCTGATTGGATTTTAATCGTATACATACACCTAGGGAGAAAACCTGCTATGAGGGGCTCAGAAAGACCTGGGTTCAAATCCTAGCTCTTCTAATAATTAGCTGTGAGTATGTGAGCTCAGACCAAGTCACATTATCTCATTGAGCCTCAGTTTCCCCCATTGGCTAAGTGCGAACACCAGTCTCTACTTTCAGTGCTAGTGTGAGGAACAGAGAGAATGGACGGAACATATATGCTGAGTATATGTTTATCCCCTTCCCCGCTGTTTCTTAACAGAGTATCTGTTTTTTAGGGTCCCCCAGGCCCCCCGGGCCCACCTGGCTCACCTGGGATTCCAGGAAAACCAGGAACTGATGTTTTCATGGGACCCCCTGGATCGCCTGGACAGGATGGAGCTGCTGGTGAACCTGGGCCCCCGGTGAGCCACTGGGGTCGTCTCCCCCTCTCCGTGGCCATGAGGCTTCCTCTAGCCAGGGAGGGGCGTAGAGACCCCAGACCCCAACATGAAGGTTCATAACAGAGAGTGAGCAGCTAGCTAATGTTTGTAAACAAAAAGTCCTCAGCTGAGCCATTGCTAAGACTCATAAGAAGCAGAAATCAAGAAATATACCATCCTACACACTGCTTTGCTGCTTTATCTTAGTCAGTATAGGAGATGCAGACTCATGTGGAATCTTGGAATCCTAGGACATCGAAGTGCTGGGCCTGGAACACAAGGCCCCCAGAGACCATCTGGTCCGACCCTGCCCCCAGCTCCCCCCAAGAGAGGAAGACGCCACCCACAGAGTGAAGGACGCTCATCCACAGGTGCATGGTCAGCAGTGGCCATGCTGGGGCCAGGGACTGGCATTCCAGCCTAGACTGATACAAGGCTCCTGGACCCACTGACCTCACCTGCTTGGTCCTCCCAGCCATGGCTTCCTTCTCTCGGAAGGCTTCATACTTGATTCTTATCAGAGATGTTGTGGGCTGATTGTCATTGATGTTCCCAGGGCCCTGAGGGACAGCCTGGAGCTGATGGAGCCTCCGGCCTTCCTGGGATGAAGGGAGAGAAGGTATGGACAGGGTGGGAGGGGTCCAACACATGGGGGCCACCATGCCCACACCACCTCTCTCTGACCTCTAGGCTCGTCCTTGCCTCTTAGGTGAATGGCCCTTTCTAATCCCCTCCAAATCCTCTCTCTGCTGGATGTCTCCATCGCAGGGCTCTTGATGCCCAAATCTGAGCTCAGCATCTCCAGCTTCAATGAATGGTGCAGCCATCTACCCAGTCACGAGGACTCAACGGCAGAATCTTCTCTAAGCCCTCCTTCATCTCCCTTTTCTGCCGTGCTCCACCTCTTGCCAGGACTGGCCCATCTGCCATCCACATCCCTTGCCTCTCTCTGCCGTGATCTGAGGTTCATCTCTCCTCACCCGCACGGCAGCCTCAGGCTTCTTGCCAGTGTCCCGTTCTCCCCACCCACAATCCAGCTTCCACCCACCTGCCCCACCTGTCCCTCCTCCTGCAGCAGGCTCCCGCTCGTCTCTGCTGAGAAGGTATCAAGGCTAGCCACTGCCTGTGGGACCAAATGCTGACGGAGTCCAGACCTGCCTTGCCAGCTCCATCTCCTGCAGCTCCCTCACGCAGCTTCTGGGTCAGCCAGCAGCCCTACTGCAGGGCTCTGGGCGTGCTCTTCCTGGATGACCCCCTGACCTTTGCACATGCTTTCCGCCATCTCGGGTGACTTTCCCTTTCCTCATCCTCCAAGGGCCAGTTCACATATATCCCCTGAGAAGCCCTTTCATACTCCCTATGAGCAGAAAGCAGCCCTCCTTCCTGTACTTCCCATGAGCACAGCATTGATTCTGCTGAGCCCATGTTAGCTTATCTGTGACAAACAGCTTTAGTACTGCTATGTGTCCTTAGAATCTGGCTCAGGCCTCCGTTAGCACGTTTGATCAGCGAATCGGCTGTTCCCTCACTCTCTTCATTCTCTGTAAGCGTTTGTTGTCCTCTGTCTGCAAACCCCACATGGTGCTGTGGGGGCGGGGTTCCTGCCCCTACAGCGGTTCCCAGCCTCTTTGATGAGATAAACCATGTTCTGCAAAGGAGAGCAATCAAGATAAGGTACATACACAAATAACGAATCATGGAACACCAAAAAAAAAAAAAAAAAAAAGGTAAACCTCCTTGCAATGATGCAGTGGTGAGTTTCACTGGGGTTTGGAGGAGGGAGGATCCCTCCCAGCTGGGATAGGGAGCAAGACCTGTGGACTCCACTGCAGGAAGTCGTGGAAAATACTAACTCCCCAGATACCACCATCTTCGCTGAACTGAATTTCCAGTTTCCATCAGCTCTCAAGTGTGTTTATTTTAATTGAAAGAGTAAGTCGATTTTCGTGGAAAGCTCATTTCTCAGAAAAAGAAGAAAGAAACTAGTTGTCAAGCTTTATAGGACTCATTTTACATGTACCAACTATTTCATAAGAAATTAGATTTTGCAGGAAACATCACAGACCTACACTGTTCTTCCCTGTCCTTCTTACCAGCTCTCCCCTACCCGCCCCCACACACCCCTCCCATGCTTGTCTGGTATTTAAAAATACCCATGCCCACATCCGCACACTGACACGGGGCAGACACAGTTTGCAATGCTCAGGGCAGCAGGCTCGCCCAGGATCACTGTTGGAGATAAATTACAGTTTTCTCCCCCAAATTTGCTACGAGTCCGAATTTGTTGTACCTTGTGCATAAGATGCTTTCTGGTCAAGTGAAAGCAGACTCTAGAAGGACTTGGAAATTTGCATCTAGAAAGCTTGAAGGAAACCTTGCAGATAACATTTACCTAAAAAAAAAATTTCTTAAAAGACAAAAGTAAACCAAGGAGCATAGTATGGATGTCAAATAACAGAAAGGTGCTAGAGAAAATGAGCAGTCTCCAGGATGTCACACAACATAGGATCCAGTGACACATTTGATCCTTGCCTCCCCTCCATGGTATCTGTTCCTCAGCTTGCACACCTCCCGTGACAAGGGACTCATTCCCTGCCAGGCAGTGCGTGGACACATGTAGGGGGATTGTTCCTCATGCTGCTCAGAAAGCAGCCTCTCTTCTCACTTGCAGGGTGTGGAGACCAGTCTGGGCAGTTGTCTAAAGGGGAGTTTTCCCCCAAAGAATAAAGAATTTTCTCCCAAAGAATTATTTGGCTGGCAAAAAAAAATATTATCCTATACATTCATTATTTTCAAATTGGGACTGTCATCGAAATGTGGATGGTCATTAAGAATTTATGAGATAGATTATTTTGAGTTGGATGATAGGCATACTCCTCAATTTATTTTCCCCTAATTAAGATGAGCAGCTGCCCTGAGATCTTTAGCCCATGAAGGAACAGGCGAAGAGTAGCCTGCTTTCTCAGCTACAGAATGCTTCTGGAAAGAATGCTTCTGGAACGTACTAGAGATGTATCTCTGGAAAATCCCTTCCTGCTGGGTGCACACTGTGCCACCCAGATCTTCAGCACACATGAAGCATCTGCGATCATCACTCTTGTCCTCCTTTTATAATTTGAATCATTCACTGTATTCTTCAGTGTCAAAAGGTGCCGAGACAGCCAGGCAGGAAAGAGTTTGTGTTTTGAAGTTTTCTTCAGTGCCCAGAATTTCTGAGGGGCATTGAGCTCCCAGGAACGGGCTTTGAGTGATCTCACTGAGCTGCCGAAATGTCATTGCTGGGCCTCGTATAGTAGATTCTGTCTTGCCCGTGAGATGAGGGGAAATGCAAATAAATCATCATCAGCTTCCCTTTCTCCACTGAACCCTACTTGGGCTTTGAGCAATTCTCTAAATCTTACACACCATAGAACAGGGTGCCCCCCAAAAACCTACGTGGTGAGCCATGCTTAACAAAGATCCAGTAATGGGTTTGGAGCTGGTAACAGCTTATTTCACTTGAACATTCCAATATTGGCCCGATTTCCTATTGCATATCTTCTTCAACCATCAGATGTTGGTACAAAATCAGGATTACAGGCCTCCATCAAACCAAATTGACCATGGTCAATTATAATTGTAACAAGTTGAAGTTATCCGTATAACAAACACCATGAGCTCAGCTGATAGACACGCATGAGGCAGTAAGTTGTGCCATCTCAGATACCACAACAGGAAAAAAAAACTGATGTATTTATTAGGTTCTTTGATGTTCCTGTACACTGAAGTCTAATAAAGCCCTTTGCAAATCCAGTTACCATAACGAGCGGAAATTTCTAATGAATTCTGAAGCATGATTTTGTAGCACTCCTGCACCTTGGTCTTTTGCAGTATTTCCGTTGTGGAACTGGCCTCTCCAACCCTGCAGCTTGGCTGGTTGGAATTCCAAGATCCTCAGGTCTCACACTGAGCAATGAAGTATAGCTCTACCCCATCATTTTGGGAGCGGAGAGTCTTTGCTGACTCTTGTAATTGGAGTTCCCAGTTTCCACTGTACCTGTTCATGTAAATTCCAATAATATGAGCTCTTTCATGCCCCAGGCCAGTCTGCTCAGATTCCAAAATGGTGGCCACCGAATCTGTGAGCCAATGGAATGGGTCCAAATACCTTTTTGCATGTACAAAGCTGGATAAAAGCATCTGTTTCCGAGACCAATAACTCAAGGTCCAAAATACCTTCTAGAACTTCCTTTGAAACTGCTACAAGATGTACTCTTGATTTGAAGAGCTGGGAAGGTAACTTATAAAAGACTGTTTTTCACTTTCCAAATGTAATTTTCTTTAACCTGATCAGCTGGCAACACAATAAGGTTTTCAGAGGTTAGAGTCCAGAAGTCAAGAGAGGAGGCTAATTTAACTTCTATGTCACAATATCCCTGACTGCAATGTGACTTGTTACTGGAACGGTACGCAAGGTTGGCACTTCCTTCAAGGACAGATGGCGACAGGCCGCAGAGGACTGCGTGGCTGGTCACACCCAAGAAAAGCAGGCACAGAAACTGTAGCCTCCAGATTAGGCGGCGGAACCGGAACGTGATTCTTTTTGTTTCTGCCCATGGTGAAAAGTCCCATGTAGTTTCTCTCCGGTCAGGCTGGTCAGCAGAGAAGCCTCTGAGCCTGGCCACCACCACTTCCTTCTCCCAGCACCCCTTGCCCTCCCGTCACCCCCTAATGTCCTGGGGTGGGGGCGGCGGTGGGGTGCTGGAGCCTGGTTCTGTAATTCTCTCCTGAGGTGCATCTCTTGTGATTCAGCCCCTATAGAGCACTTCCTTTTTATTTCCAAGATCTCCAATTTTATTTCCAATCTCCAATTTCCAAGATCTCCAGTGGCTTTTCTATAGCCACTGTGCTCATTTCATGATGGTTTGCCCATGTTCCGTGGCTGGAACGCCCTCCCTTCTGTGCCTGAGAATGCGTATTGTATGCACTTAGAGTCCCGACTGGCAGCTGATTTTCCCGCTCCTCCCCCAGGCGGACACCCCGTTGCTGGCACTGCTGCCCCCCTTTCACAGTGTTGCCTTCCCTCGGATGTGTGGTGTTTCTTGCTTGTGTGTTTGCTTTTGAAATTGGAACCTCTCTTCGGTCTGTTTTCTGCCTCTCTGTGTTCGGATTGTTGGGAGTTGGGCAGCAGCTACTTTGGAGACTTGCAGGTTTCGGGGAGAAGACAGGGACAGTGGGGTGTGCCATCAGGCAGGGCCCCTCAGCAACTGCTCTTATGAGTTAGGGGTACCCCTGGACCTCCCCAGGTTTCCCTCGCCTCTCAGTGCTCTGCTCTATGCGCTGACTCCAGGAAACAATGCTTACTGTTCTTGTCGGAGCGGGCACTGGGAGGTGAGGGGGCATGGGCAGGGCTTGCTGGCCTTCCTGCTCCGGAATTTCAACCTCTCCGCCCATCAGAGCCACACCCACCACTCTGTAGGATGCTTTTTCCCTTGTGCTTTCTCTCCACTACCGAAGCCTCTGGCTTCAGCTTCCTGTGTTTTCCCTTTGGTGTTCCTTGCTATTTTCAGGTTCAGTGTCATTTGCCATCTTACTTTTGAGCATATTATTTTGGAACTGTCCATTCTGTCCTTTCTATGGATTTGATATAGAAGGGCGATCCAGCCCAGGGAAAGAGGAGACTGGGGAGAATGGCACAGCCATAGAGGGTGGGTACATCACAATCAGCTGTCAGGACCTTTTCCTGGCTCCTTCTTTTGTGAATCCTGAGAGATTCTCCCACTGTGGGCCTCCCACTGAGAGAACCCACAGTCCCCTGATGTAGGGCCATGTCTCTTGTGGTTGACCGTTCCTGGCCACCAGCCCCTACTGGCCCTCCCCTCTGCTCAGAGCTCACAGCTGGCTCTATTCTACGGGATCCACATCTAACCCCCCCCATCTAAACCTATACCGTGGTCCCCATTGGGGATGGACATGCAACCTACTTCAGAGCGATACCCCCCAACCCCATTCTGGGGCCACCCCAGCCAGCTTTTGGTCTTTAGATATATCCAGAAGGAAGTCAGTCATCATTCCACAAATCTCTAAAAATCTAGGGAATACATATCAAGTTCTTGGAGCTCCTTTCTTGGCTTCAAGTAGGGGACATATCCCTTTACTTGCATCATGGGAGGGTGGGGTAAGAGACTGGCTAGGACACGGACAATCCTCCAAGGGAATTCTTCCTCTACAGTCTCTCCCTGGTTCATCTTCAACTTCTCCAGGTAATGAGCTAATAGTTGAAAAATGGATATCTCAAGCTTTCAGTGTAACTTGCCTAGAAAACTGACTCAAGCACTCGGCTTGGAGACATAAGCCCATTTTAAGATCCTGTTACTTAAGAGTTGATAGTTCTGCATTTTCTTTTCTTTTGATTATACCAAATGAGATGTATATTAATTGGCCCTTTTTGTGCTTTTTGTTTTGTGTGCGTGTGTTTTTTACAGGGCGCAAGAGGGCCTAATGGCTCAGTCGGTGAAAAGGTAAAAGAAAAAGAAAAAGCTTTCTTCTCATTCTCCTTCCTCTGGGTTTACTATAATTGGACTGTTGGGCTGGAGTGCTAAGCCTTTGCGTGTCAGGGAGCAGAGAGAGCCAGATCTCAGGAACTGCTCTGGAAAAGCAGAGTGGCTGGAGATGGAGGGCTGAACAACCTGCCGTGTCTGCTCACCTCCCCTGCCCTCCACACAGGGTGCTTCGGCTTGTCTCCAAGTGAAATGTCCACTAGCAAGACAGCAGTTTCTGTACTCGAAGCAGTGCCCATCAGAGAACCCATCAACCTCCTTAAGTTCAAAGAATGATTTTCGGACTCAGGCATGTTTGTTACTTCTTTCACGAGTGAACCCAGGGCTACACAATAAACCTGCCATCTTCCTTACAGGGCGACCCTGGCAACAGAGGCTTACCAGGACCTCCAGGGAAAAATGGACAAGTTGGCTCTCCTGGGGTCATGGGACCCCCGGGGCCTCCTGGACCCCCAGGGCCCCCAGGTCCTGGATGTGCAACGGGACTTGGGTTTGAGGTAATTTCCCCCCTTTCTGTGGTTCAAGAATAGTGTGCCCTGGGGACTGTTGGAAAAACCAGCTAACAGAACACTGGTCCAACAGCAGAGATGGTGGTGACTCCCACACTGAGCCCAGCCCCAGGGCCCAGCTCCACACCTGGCACCAGGAGGTGCTCAGGAATTGGATATGAAATTCTCATTCTCCTCCCTTCTCTAGGATACCGAAGGGTCTGGAAGCATCAGGCTGTTACACGAACCCAGAATCTCCGGACCAGTGGCTCCGAGTGTAGGTTGAGTTTGGAAGCCTTCATTTGGAGGACTGGCATGCTGGAGTGAGGAAGCGGGGGCGTGCCATCCTGGCTCTGCTATTTTCAGTAATTCTCCCTCTCCATGCCTTCAGCTTCCAGCTGTGCCATGGGGAGACCAAGTGCTCTTTATAGCTTGTTTCTTTGAGGAGCAGCACAGACGTTTTGCACAAGACATCCGTAGGGGAAAACTTGAAAGTCCTCTCTGTCTCTCGTCCCTTACCATCAAGCATCTCTGTTTCATTGTCTCCTACCTGCTGCCCCCTCAGTACTCACCCTTTCCTCATTTCAGAACTCTGCGCTCCTGACAGGTGCTCCTCCCCCCTGCATCGAGCCCCAGGGAGGTGTGGTCCATCTCCTGCAATGATTCCTGCTCTTGAGAGGACCGATCTCATTATCTTTGTCAGATGGGACCCAGAGCTGAGCATACCGGTCCAGGAGAAAGAGCCTCATAGGGGCAAGCAGCATAGCCCCGTCTGTGATTAAATAAGACCCTTCCCTATCCTCCAGATGCAGAGGGCTCTGAGATTCAGGGTTAAGAGGACACACACCCTGTGCTGGGAGAGAGCTTCTGTGGGTGTTCCTTCTTTCTGACTCTGGAAGGGGAATTTGCCCATCATCTTTTACTCCTATTATCTGGGGGCAAAATCCATGTGGGCGCTTAGGGAGAGACGGCAAGATGGGAGGATAGATGGGGAGTAAGCAAAGTGAAGAGAAGAAAACCAAAGAATGTTTGTTTGTTTTACCAGGGTCCCAAAGGAGAAAAAGGAGACCAGGGACCCAAGGTGAGGTTACAGATCTGAGGTGGGGGTGGGGGAAATTTCCAGCCAGGTTCTAGGAGCGTTATTCATGTACAGTGACTTTTTTTTCCACTCTCACTGTTGTATCCAGGGTGACAGAGGCATGGATGGAGCCAGCATTATGGGACCCCCTGGACCCAGGGGGCCGCCTGGTCGCATCGAGGTCCTGTCCAGTGTGAGTATCATCCAGGTTGGAGTATGGCTATGTATTTTCTGCCTCTGCTGAAGGAGAGAGAAGGTTGTCCACAACTTCAGGGCCTTCAGGGCTGGCAGTTTTACCTGCCAGCACGCCCTGCATGTCTGTTCCTACCCCAGTACCACCTCTCTCGCATGGTGCTTCCAGAACATTCCCCTGGTTGGCAGCATTTGCAGTCAAGAGAATGACTATAACAGAGGTGTAACAGAGAGGCAGAGGAACATAAGTGGGGGAACAAGTAAGGAAGATGTTTTGGGATATGAGAAATTAAGGAAGACTTTCTGGAGGAAGTACCTTTGAGTGGAGACTTGAGAGCTGAGAAGGATCTTACCAGGTAAGTGTGAAGGACAGAACTTCCAGAAGTCAGGTGGCAGGCACACCTGAGCCACAGCTCAGAAGAGAAAACCTGAGTGTGTCCAAGGCACAGGGAGCTGATGGCTGTGGAGGGGATGGAGAGTGATGGAAATTTGTAGAGAAGGCTGGGATGTGCTTGAGACCAGAGCAAGGTCCCCTTCATGTTAGGGCATCACATTGGTGAAAAACTGTGGCCCTTTGGAGACAAACGATGTCACACTGGTAGATGACAGAAAGATAAAAAGTCCCAAATAACTAGGAAAAAAGGATGACTAGAGTTTAAAAAAAGGGAGGGGGATTAAAAACATCAAGCATGGGTAAGGGTGTGATGAAATAGTTAATATCATATGCTTTAGCGACAGTGTAAATTGTACGGCCCCTTTAGACAGCTCTTTAGCAATCCCTTAAAACTAAAAATGTCCATACCGCCAGTTCCACGTGGAAGGATGGCCATGCTGTAGGGTTGGAGAAAAGAAGTGGAAAAATAATACAGACAGCCTGATGCCTTTTATGTAAAACAGGCACGTGGACACAAGCACAGATGTGCACACACACACACACACACACACACTGCCAACACTGTAAGCTTACTGTGGAGATTGTGTGTGTGTGTGTGTGTGTGTGTGCGCTTAAAAATCTGGACGGGTGTTTAAAATTTTAAAAGAGCAGGCATTCACGTATTGTGCAAGTTTAAGGTTAACTGAAAGAAGAAGGTGCTACAGCAGCTCAGGGCTGTTTTATAAGAAGTGGGGGAGGGGATGGATGTGTTGGCAGCGAGTTGAGGGTGTTATCATGTCCGCCTGTGTTTTGTCATGCTGCGGTGACTTCAGTTACAGCCTCCACTGCCAGGAGCAGGGTGGGCATGTGCCGCCCTCTGTCTCATTGTCTGTTTGCTTTCTCTTCAGTCCTTGAGCAACGTCACCCATGGGTTCGTGAATCTCTCGGACATCCCTGAGCTCACTGGGCCTCCGGTGCGTATCCATAGCTGCCCTAGAGCAAGGGTCCTACCCAGATGCCCCTGTGGAAATGAAGTTGGGTCGGTTTGGAGCCCTTTTAGCTCCTGAAGCACTGGAGCTAGAATATATCAGAATAGAATGGAAAAAGAACTTTGCATTTCTGAGAAGTTGCTATTACATTAATTTGATCGGGGAGTTTTGTCCAATGCAGTGGAAGCTTCCAGTCTCATGTATCAGAAGTATGTGTCATGGAAATCAGAGAATCATAAGTAACAAACCCATTGATGTCCATGTGATGGCTTTGGCCTGCTTTTCTTAACATGATCTCATTTCATAGAATGGGAAGAGCCTAAAGAGACCTAACCTTGTGCTAATGGGAAAACCAGTGCACAAGGAGAGAACATGACTTGCTTCAGTCTTTCTAGCCCCCTGTTAGGGATCAGGAACACTCAGTGAAGCTACAGTATCTCTGTGAGTCCACAGAGTTGGTCTATGGCACAACAGGACCTAAGAGGAAGGAAGCTTCTTCCTGCAGTCTGTGCCATACATCCCCATTGCACCTCCCAGCATGTGCTGGTGACAGCTGGGGAGAGAGGAAAGAGTTCTGAGGAGCCTTGGGGTTCCAGCCCATCTGCCACACACCCCCTGAGCCTCTGAGCCTGTTCTCTGATAATGCCTCCCCAGCTCTGGGGCAGCTCGTGAGAGGTTGGTGCGTGTGGACCTGCTTTGCAAATGGTGCACTCTTTGCAAGCCCACATGGAGACTGAGGCTTATGCTTCCACAGCTGGGCAGCCCAGATGTCTTCAGGGGTCACCCACCCCTGCAGTCCCCACTGAGGTTGGCCTGGACCCCCCCCACCCATGTCCTGGGGGACCTTGGTGCTCTTCCCGAGGCTTCTGCAGATATCTAGGCTTCTAGAGCCAGTCTTTCCTGCTGGGTGACCTCTGTTGGTGGGTCCTTCCACTGTCTCTTTTGCATTACATCTACTGGGGCTCCCTTTCCTTGATTTCTGGAAAATCACTCAAAACACCCCAGTAATCAACCCATAAAGCAAACCAGCTGTCAAGCAAAAGTCATCTCACAGGGGGTCTTGGTATTTCCCAAACTATTATAGGTTTAGGGTATTAGGTGGATTATTACTAAAGCAACGTACAGGCTCAAATCAAAGATTTGGCCTCTCTGTTCTAAGAGTCCCTGGGCCTTGTCTGCCCCCACCTCTTCTCCCTCTCCCCACCTCTAGAATCCACCTTCCCCACCAATCCCTGTCCTCCCCTTAGCAAATCCAGGCCCTCAAGGGTCCTTTTCAGTCCTAATGAAGGGCCAAGATTTTCCTACTCAGAGGCCCTTCCCTCCCTGAAGGGACTCAAGTCCTGGCCAGCACCCTCATGCTTTCCCACCCCACTGTATAGATAGGGTATTGAGAAATGTGTTGCTATCCAGTTGTCTCTCTTCATGTATTCTGCCAAACTCACAGACATTTAATGAGTACGTGGGTACCTGAGCCAGCAGGCAGAGCCCTGGCCAGTGTGGGAGGGAACCACAGACTCTCTGTGTATTCTTCTCTGAGGGAGAAGAACTGAGTGTCACCAGCACGCCCCCACTCCCACTCCCAAATACCTCAGTGCACTCTTTGGGCCCACTCCTCAGAAATGAGGGTGTTATTCTCCAAGAACATGTGTGGAGGTTGACACTGAGTGATTTCACAGAGCAGGAGTCAGCCACTTCAAATGCAGAGTCCTGCCTGGGGGTGGGGTGGGAGTGGGGCCTCTGGGCTCCTGGGCACAATTTCTGGCTCTGTCACTAACTAGCCGTATGACTCTGCACGTTTCCTTCCCCTCCCGGGCCTCGGCATCCTCCTCTACAAACGGATCATGAGATCCTCCCACTTCCCCCACCTCCGCAGGAACATGCTTGGGCCTTTGAGAGGTTCTGGGAGGGGTGGGCCCCTGAGGCACAGTGTTCCTGCTGGCTCTGGAAATGCTACCCCTAACCCGCCTGCTTGGTTTTTGGTATGTCACAGGGTCCGGAGGGCATACCTGGGCTGCCAGGATTTCCAGTAAGTATAATAGACCTTTTCCCTCTGTGCCCTGGATCTGTGTTCATTCTCTTCCTTCCACCTGGAATGCCATTCCCTTTCTGCATGACCAAGCTCTGATGCCATCTTGTGCATGTAACCTATCCTTGTTGACCTCCACCTGGAGTGATCCTTTCCTCCTCTGAGTCCCATAGGCTTTATTTTCAGCTCTGCTGTGATTCTTTTCTGCTCTGAATAACAGTTATTTGTGTCCTTGTCTTTTTTTCTCGATTTTACTGTGAACAGCTTGTGGAGGTTGGGTCTTATCTCTTTCTCCCACAGTACCAGCAGAAACCAGAGCCAGTGATTGGCTTTCTGTGAACGCAAGTGGATGAGTCAAGCATTTCAGTCTAAGATAGATAGATAGATAGATAGATAGATAGACAGACAGACAGATAGATAGATAGATATGGTCGATACAGTCCCAGCAGGTCGGTTTCCTGAAGTGAGAAGATGGTAGCGATGGAGGATGGGGGAAGGAGAATCACAGACTAGAAGTCCAACAATCCATAGTCTGTGTGCACACTATTGGGGTTTCCACCGTGGAAGGTGCATGTGCATTTCTGTGGAGAAAGTGATCAGTTCTATCTAAAACGTTGAGCATGTGCTGAAGCTCAGGGCTCCAGAGTGAAATCTACATGATTTCTCCAAGACACTACAGCTCCGAAAGGTCCCAATGCCGACAGGCCTATGCACTGTCTCCGGATAAATGAAGGAAATTTATCAAAACTGCGGCATAAATTTATTCTTGATGGTGGAATTATAAGCGATTTTTTTTTCTATTTCTTTCTACTTTTCTGAACTTTTTACATTTTGTAAAAGGAACATATCCGATGATGACACTGAAAATACGTATGAACTAGACCTTAGACACGTGAGAGAGAGTGGCAGCCGTGGAGGACGCCTCTTCGTTAGGGAAAGAAGAGGCCACACCTCTGAGCTCTGGCCCTGGCTTGGCTGCTAACTGGTGGCATGTTCCAGAATACGTTTTCCTCTAGATGAGTAGTTCTGTGTTCCTGAGGCAGCCTCCAGGGCCACTTTTAGGGAGTAAAGAGGGGGCCACAAAGGCAGGTTCCGGTCCCCTGACCTCCAATAAAAAAGCTCCATTTGACATATTTTATATATTGGGTTTTCACTGAAGTCTTGTTTGAAAAAAGGAAAGAAAAGAGCTTCATTGCTAAAAAATAATAATAACAAATATTTGAAAGCCACCGCTCTTGTGGGTAACTCACCCTTTAACCCAGCAGAGAGGACAGGCCTAGTGCAAAGCTCCATGGCAGTAAAGCGTGTAAGCCTTTTTGGGGCAGACATCTGGCTATGAGTCATCGTCACAAGTATCAGTGTCTGTTGGAGTTGAGAAGAGGTCACCTCTGGCTGGGTGTGCAGAACTTGGCTCTGTAGAGGGGCGGATGGGCGTTCCTGCAGGGGGAAGGGCATGGGTGGAGGCGCAGAGGGGAAGGCACCTGGTGGGGTGACGGGGAGCAGGGGATGAGGTGCCAAGGCTGGCTGGGCTGGGTTTGGGTGTCAGGCTGGGATGTCTGGATCCCGTCCCATAAATGGTAGGGAGCCAGAGAAGAAGTAGGGGTTACGGAAGGTGGATGGTGGGTGGAGGCCGGCTGCAGGATGGCCTGGAAGGACCCACGGGGCCAGCAGAGGCAGCAGGACCAGGCTGTTTCAGCCGTGCTTGTCGGAGGAAGCCCCAGGCCTGCTCGCACTCAGTGAGGTCTACTTTCCACCAGACCACAACTTCATGGCTCATGGTCACTTCCTCCCACCGGTGGAATGACACTCTCTATCCTTGTACTTTTTGAAAAAAAAAAAAAATACTTCCATTTGGTTAAGACATTTTCGTCTTAACAAGTCACAAAAAAACCTGATGATTCCTTCCAGGGCCCTCGAGGACCAAAAGGTGACATCGGTGTGCCTGGATTTCCAGGACTGAAAGGAGAACAGGTAAGAGGGAGCCAGGTATTGAGTGAGATCATGCTCCAGAATTTGCTAAGAATTTCCAGTTGGCTGAAAGCAGCAGTTAACTTTTTAAAAATTTCTGAGCTATAATCCATATACCACAAAATCCACTCCTTAAAGGATTGTAAAGTCCAGTGACTTTTAGTATATTCACAAAGTTGTGTGACCATCACCACTACCGAATTCTTGGACATTTTCGTGCCAAGAAGAAACTCCAGAGTTATTAGCAGTCACTCCCCAGCTATTAACTTTTCTAATTTCCATGGTCCTCCAAGGTGTAGGTGGGCCATGGGTGGAGAAATTGGTCCTCATCACAGTTTTGGAAAAGAACTCAATGTGCCTTGAATGTTGTTGTCACATGTGCTGTGCTTTGTCTAACTACCCTGTTGGGCACCCCCATTAGAGTGTGCGTTCCCTGAGGGCAGGCCACGTGCCAATTTCTTTTCTATACTTCCAGTGCTTAGCATAGGTCCTGGTACACAGATGGAACCCAAGGCATTTATTGGATGAAAGAATATATAATTAATAAGTACAATGCATGCTAATATTTAGAAATTATAAGCTGGGCATTCTGCATTTGGATGGCAGTCTTGGTCCAAAAGCTTTGGAATAAATATTTAGCATGCAAAGCATGTCCTTGGAGCCCCCAGGACACTGAAGGGACCTTTATACCCTTCCACATTTGCCTCTTAGAGTTAACTCCCCAGTTGGTTTTTATAGATAAGGCGGAGAGTGACATCCTTACACAGATTGCAATGAGTGGGGACTGGGTCATTGATTCATCTGTCCCTTTGTGTACTCATCCGTCGTATATCCGTTCCCTGGGGTGTGCCAGCCAGTTTCCCAGAGTAGGCACTAGGGACACAGAAGTAACATAGGAGGAGCAGACGTGCAATTAGCCAACAGAAAGTGTGGCCATTGCTGTGCTGGAGGTCTGTGCGAAGCCGGTAGGAGCAGCCCCGGAGCCTGCCTTGAGAGTCTCGGAGGGTGGGTATGTCTTCAAGAGGAGGGAGCATTAAGCTTCTCTTTTCTCCTCCCCCACCATTTCACCCTGGCCCCCCAGCAGAGGCTCCAGCGTGTGTTGGACCACAGTCTTAGGGGGGAGGGGTGCAGTGTGCTGGGGGTCTAAGTTTGGCGCCACATGGGGTGATGTCTTGGGATGCTTCTGGCTGCCTTGGGCCTTTGGCAAGCAGCTGCTCTGGCTTGGGAGGAGGCCTGGTCAAGCAAGAGTGGTTCTTGCCTTAAACACAGTTTCTAGCGAGACCTGCACGCCATCGCCCTAATCTCCTGCCATCTTGAAAACTGGGATGCGCGCCCAGCCAGCTATGCTCCAGCCCTCACGGCAAACACACTTTCTCTTGCCCTGCGTCTAACGCTTTTGTGCTTGTCCTTCTTGCTGCGGCCGTGCTCAGGACTGCCGTCCCTCACCAGCGGAGCGGTAAGGTCCGAATATGAGGTGCGGCCTTTAGGGGGACGGACGGAAGACGTTGTCCCGGCTGCTTCTGGCCCCGTGGAAGGGAGACTTCAACGGGGCCCAGCCCCGCCCCCAGGGGACAGCGCTGAAGTTCCGAGCCAAAGCCTCAGAATGATACAGAGGGTTCCTCCACCTGGCCTCCTCTGTGCACAGATACCTTCTTGGAAGCTTCCTGGGATAAGTAGATGGCTCTGCTGAGGACAGGATTCGGGGCAGGATTTGCCACCAGTCTACCCATCTCCCCAGTTCCCCAGCATCTGAGATAACTTTGCCCTGATCAGGCTTGCACAGGATCCTGGAGTTAGGGGACAAAGTTCCACATGGAGACACAAGGCCTCTGTGTTGAGAGAGGCTTCTGGTGTTCATACCTTTGTCTCTTTACCAGTTGCAGAGGTTTTAACAAGAATAAGGATTGTTAGGAAAGCCAGCCACCAAATAAATTAGGAGCCAGAGGTTCTCAGAGGGGTGCCGTGTAGCAAGAGGTGGGGAGGGCCTCGTCAGGCTGGCTCCTGGAGGGTAGGGGGTGAGGATGCAGATCTGTCAGCAGCAGGAGCCCTGGGGGGGCTTGCAGGACCCCTGCCTGGTCCTGTGGTGTATGGAGGGGATGACCCAGAGGGCACCCCCCAGGAGGCTGCTGCAGTTCTCTCTCCAGTGACAGAGCGGTGGGGCTGGAGGGGCGGGGGCGGGACTGCAGGACTGCGGGGGCTGAGGGAGGCTCCAGATGAGGCAGTGAGGAGGGGGGCCCACTTCATCGAAAGGTTCTCTGAATTGCAGGGCGAGAAGGGAGAGCCAGGTGCCATCCTGACAGGGGACATTCCTCTGGAACGGCTGCAGGGAAAAAAGGTAATCACGTCACCAGACCCTGAAGGCACACATCTGCGTCAGCATCCCATGTTTGTTCCTGCCGCAGGCTGTGTCCCTCTGAATGACAAGTTCTGTCTCCCTGCTTTAGGGTGAACCTGGAGTGCACGGAGCCCCGGGACCAATGGTAAGCCAGAGCATCTCTCAGCCGGGTCTGGCCTGGGGGCTGAGGGGTTTATCATACTTTGGCTCCATTAGACTGAGTTGTCCTGGTTGTGAAAATAGAAAGGATGTGGCAAGATGCGTGTGGATTAGGGTAGGCTGATTGTAATGTAGTAAAAGTCTCACTGGTTTAACAGAAGCAGCTTGTTTCTCAGTCCCGCAAGCCCACGGTGGTGGTTCCTCGGCGGGCATCTCCCCTCCCAGCAGTGACTCAGGAACCCAGGATGCTTCCGTCCTGTGACTCCATCTGGTGGCTTCGAGGCCACACTGGCATCTTCCAGCAGGCAGGCTGAGGCTAGGGCGGGGTGGGGGGGAAGAGGTCATGGAAGATGATGAACATTACCTTTAGCACATTCTACGGGCCAGAAAGAACTCAGATGCCACAGGGGGGAGGATGGCGGGGGGGGACGTGCAAATGTGTGGTTGAGCTGTGTGCCCAGGAAGGCGAGGAGCCCCTGCACACGCCCAGGTTGAGCTGTGTGCCCAGGAAGGCGAGGAGCCCCTGCACACGCCCAGGTACCCCGTGCTTGCCCGTGCTTGCCAGCTGAGGACCCATTGCCCCGGGAGCCCCTCGGAGGAGTCCCAGAGAGTCTCTCTGCTTTTTCGGCTCCTTTGTCATGAGGCCTTGAGCGAGTCCACTTCTGTCTGGGCTTCTGTAAGGTGAAGGTATTGAATTAGTACTAGATGATATCATAGGGCCCTCTCACCTTACTTGCTCTAGGAATCTGTAACCCAGTTGGGCTGCTGAATGGTTTTGTAAGCTACCAGTTCTCTCCAGAATGAACTACAAACCTCTCTTGTCTTGTCGTCCCCCCCGGCCCTGACAAAGAACAAGAAAATTCAGGTGTAGGACACCCACTGTGGCTCAGACGCACTGATACGTCACGCCATCTCATTTCATCCTTAGCACTCTGAGAGGTGAATATCAGAATCCCCATTTTAGAGACCAGGACACCAAGGTCAAAGAGAGTGAGGGGCTTGCCCATTGTCACACAGCTTGTAAGTGGTGCACTGGGGATTTAACCAAGCCTGTCAGACTCTGTGTCCAGGGTTTTCCGACTGCCTCCAGGAAACATTTCTTTGGAAGCATTTTGGCCTGGAGATTTGCACACAGGGTTTGTTTGGTTGAAGCCGGACCCCAGGCCTGGGGAGAAAGGACCTCACAGATGTATACATGTCTTTGGTGAATGAATGGCCCATAACCTCCAAGGTGCATCCTTCAAAGGACCTTCTGAGGCCTTTGGTCCTCTCTGTCAGGCAGAATGGATGGCCTGCAGGGGAGAAACTGTGGGTTAAGGCAGACTGGGGGAGTATTGTGTTAACCACTGGTTAATCACTTACTAGCATCCAGTCCCATGGGAAGTAGCGGTAGTTAGCAATGGTGGCCAGCAGGCCGCTGCAGATGGCCACTTCAGTCGTTCCTGCTGAAGCCCAGTGTGTGCCCAGCTTGCCAGGTACAGACAGTAAGGGAGCACCTGCTCCTGATTTGCATAAAGGTGCCATATAGGGCAGCTGTGGCCTTCCTGAACGGTACAGCCTACACTTCTTTACAAATTCCCTAGAGCCGTGTTACTCGTGGCTCATGGATCAGCAGCATCAGCATCACCTGGGAGCTTGTCAGAACTGCAGAGCCTTAGGCCCCACCCTGGGTTTGCATTTTGACAAGATCCCAGGTGATGCCCATACACACTAATGTTTGAGAAGCTCTGCACTGAACATACCACCAAGTGGCCCATGTCCTATGATTCCTTCTGTTCTTGCTTTTCTTGCATTAGGAGTAATGTGGGCTGGGTCTTTTATGTACAGAGCCTGTTTCCACTCAGCTTTATTTGCCATTTTCCAGGGCATGGCCATGTATGTTAATGCAGCAGGATGAAGGGACTTGGCTTAAACTAGTCATCCCTTGGGAGACAGGGCAGACCCAGCTACAGAAGTAGGAGCGTGCAGACTGGAGGGAGAACTTTTCTGGGAAGAGATCGTGTGCATTGTATGTATCTCAGATGCCAGAAGGCGTGAGGGTTCCTGCAGGAGATTGGAACAGGGCACTGTTTCTAGAAGCATGAAGACATAAAAAGCCACCATTGGGATGAATAAGGGTCCACAGGTCAAGGACTTCTCTGGAGAAGTGGGGTGCCAGACCAAGACTCTGGTCCTGAGAGACAGGTAGGAGCAAGGCAGAAGCCCAATTCTGGAGCAGGTTCTCAGGCTGGGCTGCCATGAGGGGTGAGGCAGGTCTGCATTATTCCAGTTGGAGACAGGGAGAGTCCTGGGACATAAGACCTAGAGCAAAGGTCCAGCTTCTTTTTTTTTTTTTTTT